GGCTCCGGGAAGGAGGCGGCAGCGGCGAGGCCCAGCTCCCTCCCTCCCCCCCCCCGTCGCCTGCCAGCCCGCTGGCTGGCTCCGAGGCGGCGGCGGCGGCGTTGCAGAGCGTCTCCTGCGCATGCACAGGAGACACTCTTGCACTTTCGGGGGGATTTAAACATCCCCCCGAAATTTTTAAAAACTTTTTGTATTTTTGTGCACACGTGGGGACTGGCCCACGTGTGCACAAACCTCCCCCGGCCCCCCAGCTGCCCCCTCCGTGCTGATTTAAGTATCTGCACGGAGGGGGCAAGTTGGCTATTAGATATATAGATTAGTGTAATAATGTGCAAAAACTGTATATTTGCAACTACCAAACTCTAATGGTAACTTTTATTTAAAACATATCTGAGTATAGTTTGGGCTGTTGACAAATGAGCACTCTCTTAAATATTCACCATTGAACTGAAATTGATAAAGAACTCAGTTACAGAGCTTGGTACGAACAAATTTGTGAATCTCATGTCTCACATGAAGTGTATGGGTGAATGCCTATGATGTAGTTATTCCAGGTCATGGATTATTAATAAAGGTGCAGGTTTAAACAGATCCAAGTTGTTAATAGAAGCAAAATACAGCCAGTTCCACTGCGGGCCTGATAGAAACCCTCTGGGGGACTGATCCGGCCCCCAGGCCGCATGTTTGACACCCCTTCTCTAGTTCATGAGCCCTCAACCTTTTTGAATTTATGGGCACCTTTGGAATTCTGACCCAGGTTGGTGGGTGCAACCATCAAATGGCTGCCAGAGGAGACAGAGCCAACCAATAAATGATAAGGGAACGAGTTTATGCATAACATCTCAGACAAGGTAGCTTTTAAAACGAATATATTATTTTTCACTAGTACTGTTAGCCACTTAGGCTTTGTTTGTATATTCCATTGCATTTTAATGTATTTATTGTTTTAGTGTTTTAATGTTGTTAGCCACCTTGAGCCAACCCTGTGGCAAGGTGGGATAAAAATGGAAATAAAGAAATAATATTATGAAAGGAAATGTTGCCCAGTTTTAAAAAGAACACACCATTCTTGCATAACTAGTGACAACTGTTAGCAGGCAAGTCTTCCAACAAACTATTTCAGTGTTCCATAGCCATTTCTTTCCATTTAGTAAAGAGAAGTATGTATTTTATGTGGTTTGTAAATTCTTATGTAGATATTTTATTACAGAGGTATGGTAGGCTTTTCCTGTATTGTCACCATAAGTGAAAAAACCATGCATTTCATGTCCATATGACTTGAATTCACGTATTACTCGGTGTATATATTTATTGCGCAGAATCAAGTTGCTTACTAATTGCAGGGTTTTTTATGCAATTCTTCAAAGAGCACTTTCTCTATTGAAACAGATCAAATCAAACATTGTGATTTTTTCTTCTTTTTAATCAGCCCTTTGACTTTTTCTGCACTATTCCTTAGCTTGGAGTCAGTGAGTTTCATTCTTGAAGTTAGATTGTTAACCTCAGAATATTAATTGAGGGGGAAGGAAAAGCCAGAAAATGCAAGACTTTCAACATTGTCCAGGGGGCAGGATGTTGCACGAAAAATACAAGTCTAACGCTCGCTCGAATGTGTGTGTAATCAGTTGTATGCTTCTTTGTATCTAGGCCAGAATATTTTTCATTTCACTTGACAAACTGGATTAAATCTAGATATTGTTAAAGTGCTGTAACCAGAAAATCAGAGAACCTAACAAGGACTGTGTTAACAAATTACACTTGCCTATCTAGAAATATAAAAATGTGGTTGAAATTGGGGAAATCTCATTTTTGGGTCTTCAAGTCTCTTGTTTACCCACACGTTTTACTCTGAAATGAAAACCTTAGATGCTGGAATAAATGAACTTTCAATCCGCATATATTTCAAGCTCCCATCAGCTGCAGTAGTTCCAGATTAACGCAGTCAAGAGTCAGGTTATTTTTTATTTGTTGTTGTATGAAACAAAGATATCTCTTAGGATTTTCAAATTATTTAAGTTGAGAAAGAATATCCCAGGACATGCTTTGCTTCTAATTAACTTTAGTGGGCAAGTGTTTGAGAAGGAGGAGGTGGGGGAAAGTAGTTATACAGACTGAGAGAATAGTCATACAGTGGATTATACGGTTTGGATCATTTTCAGCTTAAAAATATCAATCATCTTCAAGTAGAGGGAAAATTCCTTAGAATTCCCTCAGGCCTGCACTCTTTTACAAGTCTCATTTGTTGTCATGCAGATTGTTGTGGGGTTGCATGCTGCTTGTGCCAGTGATGCTGTTGCGCTCCTCTCTCTAGGATCCACAGGGTCGGCATGTCAAGACTTATGAAGTGTCTCTGCGTGAGAAGGAGTTTAACAAGGGACCCTGGAAACAGGAGAATGTGGAGGCTGAAGCCTCTATGGTAATCGCAGGTTAGTTATTGCTCACACAAGACCCCTCATCAGCCACAGGAGCTAGGTAGATGTAAAAAAGCAGTCACTGTATTGTCTTATCATGCAGGCTGGTTGCCCTTCTCTCTCTGGGATGCTGCCTGTATCTTTTTTCTGCAGTGACATTGCAGCGTCTGCTGCTGTTTCTTCCGTCAGTGTCATTCACGTGGCAGCTTAGTGTCTTGTTTCCTGCTCTCTAGTTCTCCATGGGTGTTAGCTTGTGCTTTTTTTTCTAAGTAGCTGGCCATATATCTTTCTCCTGCTAGCTTATTGTTTAAATCTTAGTAAAATATTTCTAGAGGCTGATTAGTATTTGCCAGCTAGCAGCAGCTGTCTTTTGGTACAATCACCATGGGGTAGAATATCATGGATAAGCCCTGTGCAGTGTTTCCATGATCTGTGAGGAGACTGTTGATCTGTGTGAGGAGGGTCGGCCTTCGCCATTAAGTGTAAAACGGAGGGTTTTTTCAGTCTCTCCCTGCGGCCTGGTCTGTGGGGACAGGCTGGTCTGGGAGAGAGAAAGATCTCCACTGGGCTCAGCGTGAGTGCTAGGCAGGCTGTGGGCCTGGAAGTAGAAACAGGTAGCTGTGTTAGATTATGTTTATTTTGCCTTTCACATTGTTATACCCTTTTTAAGCACCTCGCCTTGTCTTTTTTTCCATACCCCAGTGTTGTTTTTAATAAAGCCTTTCTGTTTAATCATTTTCTCTGCCTGAGTTAATCACGCCTGTGTGTTCTTGGCTGTTAAAGGGGCATTTTGTATGGGCTTGAGAGGGTACCCTGGGCCTTCTCAAAAGGGACCATAAGTCCAGGGTGGTGGCGGCAGAAAGCGGAGAGCCCCTGGGGTCATGACAAATGTCAAGACCCTTTTTGCTGTACTCCTACTATGGAGTCATTCTGCTTCAGCTTCTGGGATATAGTATGTATGTAGCCGTCTGCTCAAAGGAATGGTAAGGAGTTTTTTTACAGGTAATGTTCTTATGAAGCAGTCTACTTGCTTCTTGTGCAGCTTTTCAGACAGCCACATAAGAGGGTTTCACTCACCCATGTTGCCGCTTCTTCGTTTAAATCTGGCTCCAGGATGCTGCACATTTGACAAGGGCTGCTGAGTTTTTAAGTTAAAAGTGGGAGAAAAGAACTGAGCTATGTGTATAACTAAGTCAGTAATGCTCTGTGTCAGGCAAAGAGCAGCACCAAGCCAGCTATGTCCATGGCTGGGGTTTTCCTTTTAGCCTTAGTACATCTACAAGAATGCTGCATTTACACACTGCACATTGTATCCTGCCCTGTCTTTATAAGAAGACAGAGTCCCTGTGTGCCTGATGGGAGTGTATTAGAAAGAGAGGTTGAAATCCCAGAAGAGCATGTTGACCAGTGTCTTAAGGCTGGGATTCAGTTCTCTGATAGCTTTGGGAGAGCCCTACAATCTATGCAATTTATTTTTTCCTGGCCTTTTAAAAATCTGGGGTATTGACTCCTATCGAAAAGAAATTTCTGCTGCAGAATAAGATTGTGTTACAAACAGAATGGGAAATTAAAGTTTTACTTGTTTCTCCTAATTAAGGATTAAGAGGCAATATCATTATGTAGTTTGATATATGATAATATTCACTTTTAAGAATTCCTTTAGTTTGTTTTACTTTTCTAAGTCATTGGTGCACATTTACTCTACTTAAAAGCTGCTTCATTTCTCGGAAAAGGCTGGCTTTGTTTTTTTGTGTGTGTGTAAAGACTCAAGTGAGATTAGCTGGTAGTTAGGCTGGAGTTTAATTAAATATACAAACTACTCAGAGATGGCAACATCTGCACAAAACCTGTGGGGGCGGGTATTGATGCTTTGTGTGCATGTGTGCATTCTGGAATGAGTTAAGTATTCAGTTCATTTCATGACAGTGCTTTATACTTGGTCTTGCATTTTCTTTCAAAATCATTCTTACAGTACCTGAGCCATTTGGCGGAGCGATCATCATAGGACAAGAATCCATCACCTATCACAATGGGGATAAATACCTGGCTATAGCACCACCCATCATCAAGGTACAAGCATGTTTTTCTCCTAAAAGTGGGAATGTCATCCACTATGTGATTTAAGACAATACTTTTTCTGATACTTCTATCAGTTTTGGAAAATGCCCCTATGGCGATCTCGCCCTCTTCCCTCCCCCACTCACAGGATTTTCCCTTTGTTTCTTCTTTATTTCTTGCTAAGCGACCAATAGTTGGTCTATGACTGTCTCACCCTGTCACATGATTATATATTTTGATGCTGGCCCACCCCAGCGACTTGAGGGAAGAGACAAAATCACCGTTTTATAGTCTACTCCTGTAACGGAACACAAGAGTCTTTTGAATGTTCAAAATAAACAAAATATTTTATTTAACTTGGAGGGGGAAAGGTTAGGTGGAATCACAGGTGGGATGTATGAGGTAAACCGATAAATACTGAGGTAACTTTGTAATCACACTAAATCCAGATAATACATTCCTAACAAGTAAGTGTTTTTGCTTTTTAACTAGGTATTTGAAACTTTGAGGAGAGAGACTTTCTTTTCAGTATCTGCTTAAACCCTCAAGCATAGGTTCCTGAGTTTGACTGACTCTTAAGTTCTAGAAAGTAGGAACATACAACAAAGTTCCCAAAATCCTTCTATATACACAGACCAGGGATCACTCCTCTTTTAAGAGTTATCTCCCTTTTCCCTGGGTAAGGATTACTTCTCTTGACTAGAAGCTCTGCTCCTTTTTGGCTTGAATTGGGATCCACTGTGATCCACTCACTCTTTCAGTCTCTTTCCCAGTCCTCCACACTTGCATCAACGTCAGCAGAAGAGTCCTTATGCCGAAAAGGAGGAAGGGTACATACAGACACTGACAGAATCCAACCCAGGGTCTTTTATTGTCAGTTCGTAATGAAATGTGTTTTCGGCCTCCTTTAAGCTCTCTAATGAATTTTGGGTCCTGGTACCCCATTTCCTGGGTAAAGATAGGTCACTAGCACTTTATGAGATTCTTGTTTTATTGTTATTGCATTTTAAATTGTTTTTATGTGAATGGTCATTTATAGACCAATTATGTAAGCTGCCCTGAGCCCGCTTGTGGGGAGGGTGGGGTATAAATAAAATAAATAAAATAAATAAATAAAATAAAGCTTTCAGAAAACTCAGTTCAATGTAATTGTTCATTTTGCTTCTTAAAAAGAGTTGCGAATAACCCCTTTTCTGTGAAATAGCAAAGTACAATCGTATGTCATAACCGGGTTGATCCAAATGGGTCTCGTTACCTTCTGGGTGACATGGAAGGCCGCCTCTTCATGCTGCTGTTGGAAAAAGAGGAGCTGATGGACGGTGGCGTCAGTCTGAAGGACTTGCGTGTGGAACTGCTTGGAGAGGTATTCCTTCTCTCTGGGAGGCATGTGCTGGTGACACTCACTGGAAAGGGCAGTTGGGAAGCTGAGGGCATGGAAATGGTGGGGGAAGAGGGTCCTGCAGAGGCTGGAATAGGTCAAGTCCTTCCCTCCATAGATTTCACTGCTTATCCTTAGCACTTGGGTTGGATTAAGAGAGCCAAGCACTGTAATGTTTAGAAAATTTTGTTATTTAGAAAATTGTCTTGGGAGAGTGCAAAAAAAACAAACAACCCAACAGATTCTGACTTGGTTCTTTTGCCATATTAAAAGCTGTAATCAGCTTTACTATCATAGTTAAAGCAAGTTATATTAGGAAATCAATCTGATAGATACTGCTGTTGGTTTCAGTGGAACGCGTTGTGGCAAAACCTTTCCTCTTTCACATCTCAGAAGGGGGGTTTCCTTCCATCAGTACTCCAATAGAAGAACCCCTGCCTTATTTTAGAAGGTTCTCACCTCAGCCGACTACCACCTACCACTGTACATAGTCTGTCCCTGGTGGGGTCCTGGACAGTGTCATGCCTCTTCCCCAGGGGACTGTCCAGTCTCTCCTCTTTGGACCTCATTTGTAGGTACTTCAGGCTGTTTAGGTGTCCTGAGGGGTGCCCTCATATTTTCAGGATTACTCTCCCTTCTATGTACTCGAGTTCTTTTTTCAGATAAATTTATCCCCTTCCTTCTTTATATATGAATGGGAGGTTGCTTGTTTTTCTTGCTATTGAGGCTAATAGTCGCCTTGGGGGAGGATTTGGATTATGGAAACAGCAGGCTTGCATGTGCTTTCATGCTTTTGTATGAAATCTGAGACATCAGTGTGCCAGTGTCAGAAATTGATCTTTGTCATAGAGAACATATCTTGCATCTTATCTTGCTTGGCTTTCATTTTTTAAAGTTTGTTTTATTTTTAATGTATTTGAAACATTTATATTGTGCTGTTCTGTAAATGAGCTTGGAAAAGTGCATTAGCCTCACATTAATCCTGGAGATAGGTTAGGCCAAGTGAGAAGAGCTTGCCCCAGGCTGCCCATTGGGTGTTTTTGCAATCAAGTGAAGTCTTGAACTTGAGTTTTCCTTTCCCAGGTCAAGTTCCTAGTTGCTTTCCTGCACTGACATAAGACTTGGGTATTTATCTTTCTGTGCTTTATCCACATCTAGACATCCATTGCAGAATGCCTGACTTACCTAGACAATGGTGTTGTGTTCGTTGGCTCTCGGCTTGGTGACTCCCAGCTTGTAAAGGTAAAGAGCAGTCTGCAGTGCACTCATTAATGCTGAAGCCCAAGACTGTTTGCAAATCTGTTTTCTGCAAGCAGGTATTTTTTTTAATGGAGAAGGTCTGAAGTATTTCTGCTCATCTACTGAGTTCTTAATACTTTCCTTGGTATTTCTGGCAGCCTTCTCTGTTTGATATTTTCTGTGTTGTCTGTAATTTTTCTTCAGATGCTTATTCTTATTATGTACATTTATAGCTCAACGTGGACAGTAATGAACAAGGCTCATATGTGGTGGCCATGGAAACCTTCACCAACCTCGGCCCCATCGTGGACATGTGCGTGGTAGATCTTGAGAGGCAGGGTCAAGGGCAGGTAGGCTTGGCTCTTCCTTCCTTATTCATGAAATGTATTTTACGTGCTTTTAGTTTTTATAGTACTGTATTTTTATAGTGCCTTTACTCCAAAGAGTGGTTGTATGGCTCTCCTCCACAACAGCCCTATGAGGCAGTTTAGGCTGAGATGGCGGCTGGCTCATCGTCATCCAGTGAGCTTCAATGGCTGGTTGGGGATCTGTGCCCAGCCTCCCCATTTACGTGTAGCACTCTGGTTGTGTTACTCCTCTAGAGGGGTGTGGGGGAAAGTGGGGAAGGGGTTTCAGAGAACTTTGGGTTGGAGAAAGGCTTTTTGTTCTACTGAACTCTGCCCTTGTGTTTGACTAATGGACCTTCTTTGGAAAGATCTTGCTTTCCCACAGGGTTGGGAGAATGGGGTTGTAGGATGTCATTTCCCTCAAGCATTTTATTCTGCCACCTCTCTCTGAAAGTGTATGGAAAGCACGCCACATCCTCAAGGACATCATTAGATTAATGTAATGTTATCCCCCCTTTTTTTAATTATAAATTTACAAAAAATACAGTAATTAATAGTGTAAAAATCTGATACATAATCCAAAATTCAATTCACCACAGCTATACATAGTTTCTTCTATTAGGCAATATTCTTTTTAGTCCAAGATACTGAAATCTTGTTTTGGCAGATATTCCCAGTCTGGGCGCAAAATATTTCTAGATATCTGTTACCCTCTTGAAGAGATTGTTAATAGTTGTTTGCACTTTCCACAGCTGGTTACATGCTCTGGTGCCTATAAAGAGGGCTCTCTGAGGATCATCCGGAATGGGATTGGAATTCATGAACATGCCAGCATTGATCTTCCAGGGATTAAAGGTCTGTCAACCATATACGAAGGATTTTTTAAATCACTGTCCTCAGTGACATTAATGTATCCTGAGAACAGTTTAGGTTTCAATCTACTTGCTAAGATTGTCTCATGAAATGTTGTGCTTAAGCTTTTTCCACATTAAAACAAGATTTTAGTCCTCATGCTTGTACAGAAAACTGCAGTGTTAGGTAAAGATTTAGAAATCAGTGGAAGTTGTGCAAGTTTTCCCTAGTTAGGAATTCACAGTGTTTCAAAATAGACTAAAAAACTAGGGAGCTGGTACAAGTATGGATAAACACAAGATTTCAACTTTGATTTCCCCCCCACCCCCCAGTTCTGCCAGCCTTTACAGCCAATTTGTTATTCCCATTGCTATGTTTTCCTCTTCTTCTTTTTTGCCTTCCATCATTGTGTTCTTTACTCAACTAAAGTTATATGAAAATTCAACTCTTGGAATCAGAATAAATTAAGAAGAGCATCTGCACGGAAAAATATTTATTTGTGTAACTTATTCTGTGAATCTGAGAATTTTTAACACAGAGTGCATTCTGTAAAGGGCTGCAGAAACAAAAGGGATGGGGCAATTGGTTAGTATTTTTGATGGATGCTTTAGAGATCTTGTCTTTTGGGGATGTTTGTTTCAAAGACACTCTGGTAGTTCTTAAATTTTTGGTTGGGTTTTTTTTTTTTCTATACAGGATTGTGGCCTCTGCGATCAGATTCCCACCGTGAAACTGATAACACTTTAGTGCTGTCCTTTGTGGGCCAAACCAGGTAGGAAGACAGTTGTCAGATTGAATGTGGTTTTGAGAACCAGGATGCATTATTTGCTAGGATGACTGACAGGATCTTCCTGTATTTTGCAGGGTTCTGATGTTGAATGGGGAGGAAGTGGAAGAAACTGAATTGACAGGATTTGTGGATGATCAACAAACTTTCTTTTGTGGCAATGTGGCCCATCAGCAATTAATCCAGGTAATGAATGAGTCTTGAGTAAAAGGGAACTTGTAGAGCACAGTGCTCCACCAAGACCAAAGTACAGCAAGTCTGGCATGTATAGACAGCAGTTCAATGAACAAGTTGCCTTTGAGTGAGGAAGAAGTACCAACTTGTGTTCTCTCTCTAGATCACATCAGCCTCAGTGCGCCTCGTCAGTCAGGAGCCCAAGGCCCTTGTAAGTGAGTGGAAAGAACCCAACGGGAAGAACATCAGTGTGGCTTCCTGTAACAGCTGTCAAGTAGTGGTGGCTGTGGGGAGAGTGCTCTACTATCTAGAGATCCACCCTCGGGAACTGAAGCAGATAAGGTGAGTGAGCCCCATACTGTGGGACACCTTGTGGCAAGTCACGTGGCTCTCTATAATACTGACATGTTTCCTTTTCGTCAGCTGCACAGAGATGGAGCATGAGGTGGCCTGCCTGGACATCACTCCTTTGGGAGACACCAGTGGCATGTCCCCTCTGTGTGCCATTGGCCTCTGGACTGACATCTCAGCGCGCATTCTTAAGCTGCCCTCATTTGACCTGCTGCACAAGGAGATGTTAGGAGGAGGTACGCTTGCTTATGTTCTGTGTTGGGAAGGCTGAATAGTGTTAGGAGTGATGCTGACTGATTTTCCTCCCCCTCTCTGCAGAGATTATCCCACGTTCCATTCTGATGACCACCTTTGAGAGTAGCCATTACCTTCTGTGTGCCCTGGGGGATGGGGCACTCTTCTACTTTGGACTGAACATTGAGACAGGTAAGCTCTAGTTTCCTTTTTTCCTCCATACTGAGCTTGCTGAGAATAAATAAGCATTTGGACATTTCTAAAAGTTTGATAGGTCCAAAGAAAATCAGGATCCATTGATCTTCAATCTAATCAAGAGTTCTATGTAGAGAGGCAGTTTGGGGTAGCTCTTGAACAAGGAGGAGTTTTGGGGGGGTTTTCCACCAGGGAGTGAACCAGTATGGCAATCATGTTTTTCATCTGTATTCAGGTGGTACAAAAGCATTGGTCACTCTCCAACTAATTCCTGTGCCTGCTTTTTCTTGTTGGCTTGTGAATGAGATCAGTAAACAGTCTGTGGGAAAGCAGTCCATAGTTCTCTGGCTCCCTGTGGTGGTAGGAGTGCGTGCGTGCCCAGTGTGCGTGCCCAGTGTGTGTGCATGCGTGCCCAGTGATGAGTGAACCAGGCAACATCTGAATGTCTGGGGTAAGAGTAACTTAGAGTATGGAGTGACTGATGTTTGTGTGGGGATTTTTCCCCCCACATCCTCCAGAAGCTGATTTGAGTGAATTAATTCAGGAGGAGTAGAGTGCGATCATGCAAAGTCAGAGTCCCTGTAATAGTCCTGTCTGTCCTGTGCATAATCTAACAAGAAGGTAAAACCTTACTGTCTGCTTGCAAAAGATAAATAAAATCACTTAAAAGTACAGTAATACATTCTTCTTGTCCAAAAACCTATGTTAAATTAATCATTTTTCTGTAAAACCTGTTTTACATTGAAATCCACTGGAGGGCACTGTGAGTACATGAGACTCTGGCTTATCTCCAGGTTGTTTTACTTGTTTCTGTCACTGCGGCTGTGTCACTCAAAATCCAAACATACTATTGTTTTTTGGACAATGACTCCTGTAGCACATCTTCAGAAATAGATGTCCACTCAGGAAAAATCTGTTCCGTAGGATCCCATTTTATTCCAAGATGGAGGCCCTAATCCAGGCTAGCCTGGAAGTATTCATGATCTGATCAACAGTGGTAACCTCTAATGCCTTTACTTTTCCACTCTAGGTTTGCTGAGTGATCGTAAGAAAGTGACTCTGGGAACCCAGCCCACTGTTCTTAGGACATTCCGTTCCCTTTCCACCACCAATGTGTTTGCTTGCTCTGACCGCCCAACTGTGATTTACAGCAGCAATCACAAGCTAGTCTTCTCTAACGTTAATCTTAAGGAGGTGAACTACATGTGTCCTCTCAACTCAGATGGGTATCCTGACAGGTGAGTGTATTTTGTTGCTCCTCTTTCATTGTCTTACTGTTGGTAGAGCATAGAACTTTCCTTCCCACCCTGCTTCATCTTCCTTTATATTTAGGAGCTGCAGTTTTCTTGTGAAATGGCATGGCTGGGGACACTCATTGTAACTTCTAGAAGGGTAAAGGTTTCCCTTGATCGAAAGCCAGTCGAATCCGACTCTAGGGTTGCGGTGCTCATCTCCGTTTCAAAGCCGAAGAGCCAGCGCTGTCCGAAGACGTTTCCGTGGTCATGTGGCCTGCATGACTAAACACCAAGGCGCACGGAACGCTGTTACCTTCCCACCGAAGTGGTTCCTATTTATCTACTTGCAATTTCTTGCTTTCGAACTGCTAGGTTGGCAGGAGCTGGAACCAGAGACGGGAGCGCACTCCGTCATGCGACACACTCAGGTCTCGAACTGCTGAACTACCGACCGTCCGGCCTGCAGTTCAGCGTCTTAACCACTTGAGCCACTGCAGCTCCAACTTCTGGAAATGGACCTTTAAATAGGCAGTCTGTTCAGTGCATGGACTCACATGAATAAGCACTTTATTTACAAAGCCAGTTTCAAAACAATAGCAGCAAAACAGCCTTCGAGGGACAAACTCTATATCACTGGGTTCTCTCCCTGTCTCCTCTTCCTTTTGCTGTTCCTAGCAGTCTTTTCCAGTTCCTCTGATAGGTTGGTTCTGTTCTGTGTTGAAGGGATTCTGAGGGGAGAGATCCCCACACAGCCAGCCTAAAACTGCTATCACAAGCAGAACACATCCCTCATCTCTTCCTACTACATTCCTTCCTCCTGAAGAAGCAAAATTATTCAGAAACTATCAATCCCCATTCTGCTCTGCCTTTTTAGGCTGTAATATCCTACAATCTATATATCTAATAGCCAAGTTGCCCCCGGAGTGCGGATCGCTAAATCAGCGCTCCGGGGGCACTTGGGGGGGAGGGGGAGGTTTGTGCACACGTGGGCCAGTCCCCACATGTGCACAAAAATCGAAAAAGCCCCAAAAAATATCGGGGGGATATTTAAATCCCCCCAAAACTGACAGAGCGTTTCCTGCGCATGCGCAGGAACAGCAGGCCTCGCCGCCGCAGCCACGAAGTCGCCTGGGCCGAGGGCGGACGAGGCCGGGTGGATGAGGGAGGGGGGAACAGCAGGCCTCGCCACCACAGCCACGAAGTCGCCCGGGCCGAGGGCGGATGAGGCTGGGCGGACGAGGGCAGGCAGATGAGGGTGGGCGAGGGATGGGGGAGCAGCCGGCCTCACCGGCGTCGGCGCCGCCTCGGAGCCAGCCAGCCGTCCGGGCCGGGGCGAGGGCAACTGCGGCGGCTGCGAGCCCTGGGCGGCAGCAAAACGCTGGCCCTCGCTGGGGGGGGGAAGGAGCAGGGGGGGGGTGGAGGACATGGAGGAACCGGCGGGATGGCGGGGGAGAGCTTACCTGCTCCTGCTGGTTCCTCCAGCTGGCGAGTTTGAAGCTCCCCCGCCCCCCCCTGCGAGTTCCGCGGGTCTTTTTTCTTGTTTAACCCTAAACTCAGTAAAGCTGAAGTGCAAGAGTATCTTGAGTGATCCTGTGGCACTCTGTGTACCTCTACGGTAACAGATGATGGCCCGCCACAAGGATAAAATAGAGCCGCCATCATTTCAGGTATTTAATTCCACTGTGAGATGGATTGGTCAGAAATTTTTTTTCCTCTTAAAGAGCAGGAGGAATATGATATGGGGAACAGTTGCATGTGCATGAGATGAAAGACCATTTAGACTGGCAGTGAGAAGGTCCCTGGTAGAGTTAGTGATCCTCAGAGCAGGAACATTCTGTCAGGAGATGGCGAAGAAGTTAAAAAGGCGGCTTCTTCACAGTGAGAGAGGAGCTGAAGGGGGGCTGATGGGAGCAAATAACGGTGTCCTTAAGGCAAATCACACTCTTCACAGTAAGTGCCCTTCCTGTCACATGCAGTGTGTCAGTATCTGGGTTCTCTTCTACAACCATACGCAGAAATATCTTCCACCCCCGGTGTTGTAATATCTGTATGCAGCTTTTTATCTGTCTCTGGGATCCACATAAGGAATCCCTTCATCAGCAGGACATGACACTTGTCCAGCACATACATCTACTTTTGCTTCTCTATGGCTTACATTTTCACTTAGCGCAAGCAGAGTATCTGGAGAAAACAGGGTATTAATGCCTCTCTTGAACTGTTGTGTTCCTTTCGTTGCTTTAGCTATTGTGGGTAGGAATTTTGAAGGCAGGAGGCATTGTATGGGGAGGGTTGGTGAGGGAGATGCTTTTCTTTCTTTGAAACATTTTGCTTGTCCTTAATTTTCAGCCTGGCTTTGGCCAACAACAGCACTTTGACAATCGGCACCATTGACGAGATTCAGAAGCTGCATATCCGCACTGTCCCTCTGTATGAGTCACCCAGGTGAGCCGAACAGGAACTTGTGGCCATGGAGTCAGTAGGCCAATAATCTTTACAGTGCCAAAGGTTAATTGGAGATATGCATCATCCTCATTGTTTATGGAAGCCTCCTTGTCAAGAATTCCCAATCCAGGGAATCCATGGGATTGGGGGGGGGCAGTATTTAAGATTGCAAACCCCGGGGGGTTGTCCATACGCTCACCAGTATGGTAGTCTGCCACCAGCCCCTTGAACTACCCACATAGTCAGAAGCCAAGGGACAAGTGTCTAATTTTACTGGGAATTAATTAAGAAAGCCAGCCCTGCAAGGTAGGTCACCGGCAGAATGAGTTTCCACAACAATTGACTTGGTATGTGGACTCTTTAAGTCTAAGGTACTGGAATTAGGTTGAGGCTTCTGAGTACAGAACAACCAGTTATAGTCAAGGTATTTTGTTATTAATTAAAGTGTGCAAGAATATTTTCTAAAGAACTAAGCGATGAACAGAAAAAACAAGAAATCTAAATAGTAAGTTCTAGCTACACATTATACCCTAAATGAAAGTTACCATAATCTCTTCTTGGTGAAGTCAGTCATCTTTCCAAATCTCTTTGTGTGTCAGGCCCATGTCTAAACCATCATGGAGTTAGCGCATTGCCTCCAGGAGAGCTGGAGCTGGCTTGCCCCAACTAACAACTCACTACAGGAAAGTTAAACTTCTTAAAGTCTAAAATTTGCATAGGCTGGGTCCTTGACCCAATACAAAATTCAGAGCATTGAAGTTTGCTATCATGGAACTATTATGGATCTCATGGCGAGGGGGCTTGCGTGGTTCGATGAGGCTGTGGGCTATGCCATGGAGGGCTACCCAGGACGGACAGGCTACAGTGGAGAACTCAGACAAAACGTGATCCACTGGAGAAGGAAGTGGCAACCCACTCCAGTATCTGTGCCAAGAAAACCCCATGGGCAGTAACAAAAGGCTAAAAGATATGATGCCGGAAGATGAGTCCCTCAGGTCAGAAGGTGTCCAATATGCTACCGGGGAAGAGCAGAGGGTAAGTACAAGTAACCCCAGAAAGAGTGAAGTGGCTGGGCCAAAGCCGAAAGGATGCTCAGCTGTGGATGTGTTTGATGGTGAAAGAGAAGTTCGATGCTGCAAAAGACAATACTGCATAGGAACCTGGAATGTAAGATCTATGAATCAAGGTAAGCTTGACGTGGTCAAAAATGAGATGGCAAGACTGAACATTGACATCTTGGGAATCAGTGAATTAAAATGGATGGGAATGGGTGAATTTAACTCAGAAGACCATTGTATCTACTACTGTGGCCAAGAATCCCGTAGAAAAAATAGCATGGCCTTTATAGTCAACAAGAGAGTGAGAAAGACAGTAATGGGATACAGTCTCAAAAACGCCAGAATGATCTCAGTCCGAATCCAAGGCAAACCATTCAACATCACAGTAATCCAAGTCTATGCCCCAACCACTGACGCAGAAGAGGCTGAAGTGGACCGGATCTATGAAGACCTACGACACCTCCTAGAATTAACACCAAAAAAAGATGTCCTTATCATCATATGGGACTGGATTGCTGAAGTACGAAGTCAAAACGTAACCAGATTAACGGACAAGTTTGGCCTTGGAGAACAAAATGAAGCCGGGCAAAGGCTAACAGAGTTTTGTCAGGAGAACACGCTGGTCCCTCTTCCAACAACCTAAGAGGCAACTCTACACATGGACATCACCTGATGGGCAACACTGAAATCAGATTGATTATATAATTTGCAGTCAAATATGGAGAAGCTCTATACCAGAAGTTCCCAAACGTATTTGGCCTACCGCCCCCTTTTCAGAAAAAAAATTACTCAGCGCCCCCCTGGAAATCTACCTTGAAGAAGTAGACAAAAAGATGCAGTGATAAATTTGCACATGGTAAAGAAAGATGTTGTTGGCTTGAAGCCAGAGGCCCGCAGCAACCACCAGACAATAGTCCAGCAGCAACACCAGTCTTACAAGGGTGTACATGCATTTGCAAATGCCTGGCTGTGATTGGCTGTGGGGACCCATCTCCCCCTCCCTCCCTGATCCCAGGGAAGACCAGGAGAAGGCAGGAAAAGGCTTTAGATAGGTTCTGGACTCTTCTTTTTTTATGCTTCCACTGCTCCCTTATTTTTATTCAACGCCCCCCAATTGCACCCAAGACTCCTACCACCCACCTGGATCGTTCCAGCGCCCCCCAGGAGGCGGTATTGCCCACTTTGGGAACCTACAGTCACTAAAAACAAGACCTGGAGCTGGCTGTGGCTCAGATCATGCTACTCTTTGCAAAATTCAGAGTTAAACTGAAGAAAGTTGGGAAAACCACTAGGTCACTCAGGTTTGACCTAGATCACATCCCTTATGAATATACAGTGGAGGTGAAGAATAGGTTTAAGGGACTAGATTTGATAGAACTATGGACAGAGGTTCGTGACATTGTACAGAAGGCAGCAATCAGCACCATCCCAAAGAAAAAGAAATGCAAGAAAGCAAAGGGGCTGTCTGATGAGGCTTTACAAATAGCAGAGGAAGGCAAAGGTGAAAAGGAAAGATTTACCCGACTGAATGCAGATTTCCAGAGAACAGCAAGGAGAGATAAGGAGGCTTTCCTGAATGAACAGTGCAAAGTAATAGAGGAAAACTATCGCATGGGAAGGACTAGAGATCTCTTCAAGAAAACTGGAGAAATCAAGATCCTACAAGCTAGGCTGCAGCAGTATTTGGATAGAGAACTGTCAGAAGTACAAGCTGGGTTTCGAAGAGGTAGAGGAACTAGAGATCAAATTGCCAACATTTGCTGGATTATGGAGAAAGCAAGGGAGTACCAGAAAAACATCGACTTCTGCTTCATTGACTATGCTAAAGCCTTTGACTGTGTGGATCACAGCACTCTGTGGCAAGTCCTTAAAGAGATGGGAGTACCAAACCACCTCACATGTCTCCTGAGAAACCTGTGTAAGGGTCAAGAAGCAACATTTAGAAGCGGATATGGAACAACTGAGTGGCTTAGCATAGGAAAAAAAGTACGACAAGGATGTATATTGTCACCCTGCTTATTTAGTTTATATGCAGAGTACATCTAGTGAAATGCTGTCCTGGATGAATCACAAGCCAGAATTAAGATTGACGGGAAAAACATCAACAACCTCAGATATGCAGACGATAGCACTCTAATGGCAGAAAGTGAAGAGGACCTAAAGAGACTCTTGTTGAGGGTGGAAGAGGATAGCGCAAAAGTTGGCTTGAAACTCAACATCAAAACACTAAGATCATGGCATCCGGCCCCATCCCTCCTTGGTAAATAGAAGGGGAAGTCATGGAAGCAGTGACAGACTTCACGTTCCTGGGATCCAAGATAACTGCAGATGGTGACTGCAGCCATGGAATTAAAAGACGCCTTCTCCTTGGGAGGAAAGCTATGGCAAACCTAGACAGCATAATAAAAAGTAGAGGCATCACCCTGCCAATAAAAGTCCTTCTGGTCAAAGCAATGGTATTCCCAGTAGTAATTTATGGCTGTGAGAGTTGGACCATAAGGAAGCACTGAAGAATAGATGCTTTTGAATTATGGTGCTGGAGAAGACTCTTGAGAGTCCCTTGGACTGCAAGATCAAATCAGTCAACCTGAAAAGAAATCAACCCTGACTGTTCCCGGGAAGGCCAGAAACTGAAGCTGAAGCTCAAATACTTTGGGCCACCAAATGAGAAGGGAGCCCTCACTGGAGAAGACCCTGATGCTGGGAAAAATTGAAGGTAAAAGAAGAAGGGGATGACAAAGGATGAGATGGTCAGACAGTGTTATCGATGCAACGAACATGAAGTTGAGCAAGCTCTGGAGGAGAGGAGGGCCTGGCATGATGTGGTCCATGGGGTCGCAAAGAGTTGGACTCGACTGTGTGACTGAACAACAACAAACATGGAGCTGTGACAACAAATGGCTCAGAAGAGAAACAGTTTTTTTGATGGGATGCTTCCCTTCTGGAGTATTTTTTATTTATTTATTTATTTATATCTTTGATTTCTACCCCGCTCCAACCCCGAAGGGTCTCTGAGCGGCTTACAAGTTCCAAATTTATCCCTAGCTAAGGCCACATGTCTACAGGGGTTGGGGCTGCCTACCGGCACCCAGGTGGCAGGGCTCGCTGTTTTTCTTGGTTGTTCTTCCCGGGCGGTCTTTCGGGTGTCAGTGCTCGGTTCCTGGTGTGGTCGTCCGGTCCGGCGGCTTCTTCTTTCTTTCTTTCGGCGGGCTCGTCTGGTATGTGGGTCGTATCGACTTACAGCCCCGATAACGTCCGTACGGCTCCGCTGCGCTTGCATCACGTCACCACGTCCTTCTGTAGCTCCGCCTCTGTCTCCACCTCCATCGCTCCACTTGCCTTCGCTCTGCCGCTCCGACGCTACGCCACTCCATCGCCGCCATTTCCACCGTCACCGCTGCAGTCGCTTCTACTGCTCCTGCCACACACCCCCGTAGGGGGAGGGTGCCCCCTGCCACCTAAGTGCAGGTACCCATTCATCTACTCGCTTATATTAATTGCTTTCGAACCGCTGGGTGGGCGGGAGCTAGGACTAGGGCCAGCAGCTCACCCTGGCCGCGGTGGGTCTCGAACAGCTGTAGCAGCTGTTCACTGATGTTACCAGCAGGCGTTTTACCACCTGCACCACCGCTCCCTTTGTATAAACCAAGCATCAAAGAAAGAGTGAAGTGTGCATTCAGTGAACAAATGGTGTGACTCCTTTTGTCTCTGTTATTCAAAGGTAAAAAGTCAGACTTGTTAACTTTCTCATGCCAAACCCCAGATGTTTCCTTTTGACCACCACCCCGTGTTTCAGGCCTAAGTTTTGATATGAAGCCTAAACCAATGTTCTAATGAAAGAATGAAGAATTGAACCACTTTCTTGACATTCCTCTTTCTTTTGCCCTGGAAAATGGTAAATTGGGCATTTACTTAGGTGCTCTTGCAGGAGATGATTTGGGATGAGGAATATTCTCAATATTCTTGAAGTTCCGTTTACCAAAAAGCATTGGTGTGAGTCTTGTTCACTGTCTTGGTACTTAACGTTTTTGTCTTGCAGGAAGATCTGCTATCAGGAAGTATCTCAGTGTTTTGGAGTGCTCTCCAGTCGCATTGAGGTTCAGGATTCCAGTGGAGGTACCACTGCGCTGAGGCCCAGTGCAAGCACCCAGGTGAACTCATATGGGTTTGGGATGTTGTACAAGCAGCTAGCATTGGCAACATGGCAGCTGTGTTTTCCCTGTGACTGACCATTGTTAGTGGACTAGTGTCTCCCAACTCTTGCCTGACAGTCTGATTCTTAGGTACAAAGTGTGTGGTCCTTCTGTTTTGGGGTTTCATAACTGTTGCTCTGTGGTGGAAATAAATGTTTCATTCCAACCACACACTGAAGATCCCTGTTCTCTGAAATCCCTGTTCCCTTCATTTTCTAGTGCTTACATAAACTGGTCCATCTCCTATTATGAGGAGATCCTCAGGTCATTTTGCCATTTATCTCTTCTAAGGTCTTTTCCAAATGCCTCTTCAATAAACAGTAGTTAGGAAACCTGGCAGTACTGATCTGTTGTTTCTAAATTGTGCTATAACCAAACAGTCTTCCAAATCCTTTCCATTGTTTCCTCCTCAATCTAAATATGCTCCTAATGTTTATGAACTTGGCAGATACTGCTCTTGTAGAAATCCTCTCGTTCTTATGGTATATTGGCGTGCATATAATGGGTTGGCCCCATTTAGTGAGGCTTGGTTATTTCCTTACCATGGCTGTGAATTCAGTTTGCTTTCTTGCCCCTTTGGTATCTCCATGGCCCATGGAAGTAGTTGATGGTATAACACTTCTGTTCCAGGCCCTTTCCAGCAGTGTGAGCTCCAGCAAGTTATTCTCAAGCAGCACAGCCCCACATGAGACATCGTTTGGTGAAGAGGTAGAGGTGCACAACCTGCTCATTATAGATCAGCACACGTTTGAAGGTACAGCTCCTTCGGCTGCATTTTGCTCCTCATGGGAGGCACTTAATGGTGGGAGAAAGGATTTGTGGGGGGGTAGGGAAGTTGGGGACATATGGTGGCATGCAGACCCATGAATTGTAAACGTGTGTTTTAGGGTCACTTCAGTTCTGTTATTTATGGCTGCTGCACATTTAACTCTTTAGTATGTTGGAAAATATGTTTTGCGGAACTCTGACCAGTTTCTTTGCTGTTTGCCCTTAGTGCTTCATGCTCACCAGTTTCTGCAGAATGAGTACGCACTAAGCCTGGTCTCTTGCAAACTGGGCAAAGACCCCAACACGTATTTTATTGTGGGCACTGCCATGGTTTATCCTGATGAAGCGGAACCCAAGCAAGGCCGGATTGTGGTGTTTCATTATTCTGATGGTAAGAGTGGGACAGGTCAATCCATTTCCATCGCTCCACATATTTATTTATTTATTTATTTACTGTACCTACAGTCTGCAGTTCTGACGGAGACTGAAAGCATATTATAAAATGAAAATAAAGAAGGGATGAAAGAAAACAGTGTAAGATTTATCATAGATAGTACATCAACTGGATAACAAAAAATTGAAATTGATGTAATACAAACAGGATAATACATATAGCAAGTGGTGCAATAGACTACATTAAATTAAGAACCAAAAGGTTAAGGAAATCAGAATATAAGGGCCCAATAGTTGAAACATAAATATAATCAAATATACAAAAATATACATGTATTTATTACAAATTCAATAAATACAAATATAGGCCCAAATAATAGCCTCAGTTCAAATAAAGGCATACATTAATCTCAGAGATAGACCATTATTGACCCTGACCAAATGGGTTTTGGCCAATTGGCCATCCTCAGTGGTTAAATAATGTTGTTACAGAATGGTTCCAGACATTACAATAACACAGTCATTTCTTAAACTGAAGTGAAATTGTTCTGGAGACGAAAGGAAAAATATAACAATTATTAATTATTAAAAATAGTACATTATTACGAATAATATGCCAAAAAGATTTGTTCAAAAGATATATTTTGAGTTACTTACAGTCAATATCTGTGACTTAAGGCAGTGAAATAAATCAGAGGTCTCATTTTAGATAACTTGCAATAAACTACAGCCATGTCCCCTATACAAAAACAACCAACCTCCCCCCCCCCAACCGAACATTCAAAATAGGGCAGTGCAAACAACAGTAAGGCCTCTTCTGACAGGGAGATCTGAGGACATCACTGACCGTGCAGTTTTTGCTTCATTTTAAAGTCCTGATTGTTTTGTCTGCGCAGGGGTCATTGGGGGGGGACGCGGGGGGACGCCATCCCCCCGGGTGAGGTGCGGGAGGGCGGGGCCTGGAGCTCCCTGCTGGTGCCCGCTGGAGGTCGCCGCCGGCTGTGAGGAGGACACACTTCCGGTGATGTCAGGGGGTGTGGCATATGCTAATGAGTTATGCTAATGAGTCCCCCTAGCTCTTTTTCTACGAAATGACCCTGCGCATTTTTGTATGCCCACTGAGATCGCTTTGCTCCAAGACTCCTCAGCTCTAAATGCCTCATTATTTTAAAAACTGCCCTCATAAAAGCTCCAGAGCAGAAAAATAAGCATATTGGGGATATCTTATCACAGTTTTCCACAACGGCACAAATTTGTTGCAACATGTCCTCATTCCCAAGGGCCACCCTTGGTTCCTGCCGTGTGAGGCGTGAGGAATGCGGAGTGCATGCATTTTCAAGGCTTGTATTGATGTGTCTCCTAGGCAAATTGCAGACTGTAGCAGAGAAAGAAGTGAAAGGAGCTGTTTACTCCATGGTGGAATTCAATGGAAAACTCCTAGCCAGCATAAACAGCACGGTAAGGCTTCCAAAAGCTCTTCCATTGGTGTTCCCCAGAGCTGAGGTGATTAGCACATTGGGTAAAAGGGTGAGTGTTTTGGGTGCACCAGCACTGTATTCTGTATTTTGCGTTGGGCCTTATAAGTCTCCTTCCAGGTGCGGCTGTATGAGTGGACAGCAGAGAAAGAGCTTCGCACGGAATGCAATCATTACAACAATATCATGGCACTCTATGTAAAGACCAAGGGCGACTTCATCTTAGTGGGAGATCTGATGCGCTCTGTCCTTTTGCTTGCCTATAAGCCCATGGAAGGCAACTTTGAAGAGGTATCAGTGCTTTTACCTTAATGGATGTCTCAGTTTGGGGCGCTTGATGGGAACATAGTTTTTCTTCATCTTGTTATCAGTCTGGACTTTCATTGCAGAAGTAACAATCTGTAGCAGCATATTCTTATCATAGCACAGTAAAGGTGGAGCTTTAAATATGACATTAAACCCTCTTTAGGGAGTAGCTCAATTTTTAGTGGAGAGAGGTGGCTGTCTGAGATTGCACATTTTGGATGCCAGTAAAGGATCGTGAACTACTGTCAGTTTTATTTCTAATTATGCATACTTTGGAGAAGGGGGAGCAATACAGATTTTCCGCTTCAGGTGTGAAATGTCTCAGGTGTGGTCCATCCACCTTTATGTTACGTTCAAGCCATTTTGGATTCTGGACATGGGTACAAAATGTGATCTTCAGGGAGAAGAGAATGGCTTTCTGGATTAATTGATATTGTAGAGTAATCATTCATGAATTTTCTGAGGTGAATAATCTATTCCCACTTGTTCTGTTGTTCAAGACAGAGGCTCTAACTAAGCAAGAGACTGAACTATATGGTTCTTTTTTACATGTGGTTCTTTTCTGTTAAGTCTGTTGTTCTGTCCCTTTTGTAATTAGTTATTTTTCTGGAAGAGATCCCAAAGCTGTATTGCAGTTTTGATTGGGGCACAGAAACACAACGGGTCTTGCAGTGGGTACTTCCAGGTAGATTTTTGCATGCTACTAGAGAGTTATTATTTATCCTCCCTTTCAGATTGCTCGAGACTTTAATCCAAATTGGATGAGTGCAGTAGAGATTTTGGATGATGACAACTTCCTAGGGGCAGAGAATGCGTTTAACTTGTTTGTGTGTCAGAAGGACAGGTGAGTTTCCTCTATATAAGATGGAGAAAAGTAGGCATGATGCATTCATAACAGAGAGCGGGGCTATGGGAGAGAGTTCTCTCTGTTGTTCTTTGTGCAATAGACTTTCTGCATTGCAGTGCAGCCACAACTGATGAGGAACGCCAGCATCTTCAGGAGTTGGGGCTGTTCCATCTGGGCGAGTTTGTCAACGTCTTTTGTCATGGGTCCCTGGTCATGCAGAATCTGGGTGAAACATCCACACCGACACAGGGCTCAGTGCTCTTTGGTACAGTCAATGGAATGATTGGTAAGATTACAGCCCCTCAGGAACTTCTGCCATCTGTCTTGAGACAGGCCTGCCACTGCTTGCGGATAGTAAAATATAAGGATTGAGGGGGCACTGGTAACCTGGAGCTTATGGAAAAACAAAGGCGTTTGAGTAAGGGATCCTGGGAGGGATATGGGGATAGAAAACCTTTTCTCTCAGTACATCCCGAGATACAACAGCACGTTCCAAGTCTGGGTGGGCAAAAGCAAACTCTTAAATGTTAACAGTTGAATGTTGCTTGAAAAAGTCACTGTAACGGTTTATCTTTTGTAGGATTGGTGACTTCACTATCAGAAAGCTGGTATAACCTCCTGCTTGATCTGCAGAACAGACTCAACAAAGTCATCAAGAGTGTGGGAAAAATTGAACATTCTTTATATCCTTTTCCCCCCATTGTCCTGTTTAATATACTAGAGTGCTTAAAAATATTAAGCATTGTACAAAGATAATTTTTAAAAGACAGGTCACTTTCCTCTCAGATTTGCACGCAGAGCTAAGGATAAAGAGAAGAAGCATTATGAATGGAGGCTGAACAAAGTCTTACTGTAGCAGAGCTAATTGTGAGAAAAGTGAGAGGGGTGCATATCTCGACGCTTTTTTAATTTTTAAAAAGTGAATGTCATGGCAAGGCATTACTTGTCGAAAGGAAGAGCCAGGCAAACAGTAGAAAAGGGCAAACAGTAGAAGAGAAAGGAGGCTTAAATAAAAGGAAATTATTAGAGTACAAAGAACAAGATCATTAACAGAAAACAAACAAGCTCAAGTAAATGGATTACAAAAGGAAAGGAACAATTTGGAAATCTCACTTAACCCACCATAATCTCCACCTCCAGGATTCTCTAAGCTCTTTGGAGATTGAGCAGCCTTTTTACTTACATATTCAGAACTCATCAAGTTGTTTTGAGGGTTTTTTTTTTCCTTTTGGTTAATTTACAAAAGTATATTTTTTCTGGATACCAGGAATGTCTTTGAAGTATGAAGAAGCTCCTCATCTTATCTGTGGACTGGCAATTTTGCTTTTTTCATGGATGTTAGAGGCACCAGTCACTTCAGTACTAGAAAGAAGTGCCCAAAGAAATTAGAACCTTTATTATTTTATTTAAAACGTTTTTATGCCGCCTTTCCATCCAACTTGGGGTACCCAAGGCAGTGAACAAAGAAAACCCATTAAAACAAGCTTTTAAAAGTACATATTAAAAATTAACAGTTAAACACATAAACAGCAAGGAGAGTCAGTGAGTAAACACCAAACAAACGAGATAAGTCTTCACTTGCTTATGGAAGGCTCTGATCACAGGGGTCAGATGACTGTCACTGGGAGGAAATTCAGTCATTTTGGTGCCACAGCCAAGAAGGCCGCCCATCTAGCCTCAGAGGGTGAGAAGGGCCTCTGAAGACAGTGGCAGTGGTCAGATAGGTTCTTATGGGAGTAGAAAGTCCTTTAAGGTAAATGAAAAGGAATAGGCTTAGAGAAAATACAGAAGTAGAACAATTAACACAGAAGTCAGTGGAAGCTCAAAATGAGGACAGAAATAAGAGAAGAAAGACAAACTAAGAAACTGTTTTAATGGTTAGCTGCCTTGGTAGCCCTCCTTGGGCAGAAAGGCGGCATATAAATTTTGTAAAAAAATAATATTTTTGAGGTTTATTTATGTAAGAGCCCTACAAAAACAAAGCAAGTACTTTCTCTGGTGCCGGCACCGTCACTGTGGAGACCACGGGGCCATTCTTAGTACGATCGAGCTCTCTTAACTGTCTCTCTAGTACAGTTGTCCATCCCTGCCTCTTAGGCTCCCCTCCCCACACCTGTATTTTCACCACAATCCTGTGAAGCAGGTTAGGCTGAGAGAAGGTGTGTAGCCTAGAGTCACCCAGTGAGCATCATGGCAAAGTGAGGATTTGAGTGTAGCTCTCCAAGATCCTAGTTCAGCATTCTAACTGCTCTACTGCATTGGCTGTCCTAGAAATGGCAAGTCTTTACAGTACCAGTAATCAGAAGAAGAAAAGTTGCCAATCAAACATTAAAGTTCTGTGAGTTGTGCATTTTACCTTTCAAACAGAAGGCACAGACTGCATAAGGAAATGAAAGTGCTACCACTGGTATTAAATGTTGCTCAAACAAGGTATGAACAGAATGTCATACTTTTTTCCATACTGAAGTCTAAAGGATTTTGAAAAATCCAAGGAAAAATTACCAAGAAGTGATTGGAGATATTGGCAGGAAACAAGAAAGATACACCAAGAACAAAATTATATATTTGAATACAATATGATCAGCTTAAGTCAGATAAAGTAAATCAAAAGAAGAATGATCTACAGGGAGACAAAAGGCCAAAAACTGAGTCCTGAAGGACTTGGATAGGCCAAAAGCATGCAGGGAAGACCAAAAGCTAGGTAAGACATACTCAGAACTCGAGGATCTCTGTAACTGGGAAAAGGAGCCGTTAACCATGTCATAAAGCAGAGATATCAAGGTAAGTGGAGATAAAATAGGAATCCCATGGCGTCTTAAAAGGCCTAACACATTTTATGTTAGCATAAGTTTTCAAGAACTAGAGCCCACTTTCTCAGATCTGATGAAATGGACTCTCATCCACAAAAACTTATCCTAGACAAATTGTGTTTGTCTTTAAGGTGCCACAAGATTCTTGTTTGCTGTAGCAGACGAACACAGATTCCTCTGGGGTAAATTATTGGGATTGACGGTAGATGATGGATGTAATTGTGTCATTTTTTTTACACGAAGGAGATGCAGTTGCTCTTTTTAAACAAGGGGGAACAGCTGGAAGAAAGAGGAAGAGAACTACTATAGGAATTCCATTTAATTTCCCCAGTGCAGAAACTGTGGCAACAGTCACAAAGACAGCACATGAAGTAAAGAAGGGCATGATAATTGAGATTTTGGCATTTTGCTTCATAAACTGCTCACTGTTTCCAAAATGTCTTACATTAAAAATGTAATTGAGGCTAGACTTCTACTTGCACTGGAGCTTTTGCACAAGCAGTAAAACACAAGGGGGAGAAGATTGTGGTAGCCGGGGAGGGGTTGTGACTCGGCAGTAGAGCTCCTGCTTGGCATAGAGGAGGTCCCAGGTGCAATGCATGACACCTGCATTTAAAAGGTGATATGAGAGACCTCTGCCTGAGACCCTGGAGAGCTACTGTCTAAGTAGACAATGCCAACCTTAATAAGCCAAGAGTCTGATTCCGTCTAAGGCAGCTTCATATGTTCATGAATAGACTTGTGTTGTCAAACTTACTCCATCCCTACTTGCATTTCTGCTTGTACAAGATGCTGTGCAACACATTTCTGGGCACTATAATATAGAGGGAGAAAAGCACTAAGTCTGTTTAGCATTCCCTAGATCCAAGCCTTTGTGCAGGAAATCAGTTTTGCATCTTCCCAAAAGGGGCAAGCCCACTCATTGTGTATCTGCTTAAGACTGAACAGAGGTAATGTTTTGAACAAGCCATCCCAATGTGGCAATACACTTGAAAACACAGTGCGCGGACTCTAATCTGGGAGAACCGGGTTTGATTCCCCACTCCTCCACTTGCACCTGGCTGGATGACCTTGGGCAAGCCGTAGTTCTGATAAGAGCTGTCCTTGAAAAAGAGCAGTTTCTGTCAGAGCTCTCTCAGCCCCACCTACCTCACAGGGTGTCTGTTGTGGGGAGGGGAAGGGAAAGGAGTTTGTAAGCTGCTCTGAGACTCCCTTGGGTAGTGAAGGGTGGGGTATAAATCCAATCTCTTCTTCTTCCATGAGAGGGGATTATGAATTGCCAAAAAGTTTCTTTGCATACACACTAGAAATAGGCAGGTTGTTCCTATAGTTTTATAGCTTGGAAGTTTTTGCTTCTTCATGAAGGTGACTACATAAAATCCAAGGGGAGGTTTGTGATAAAGAGGATTTTTTCCTGGTAAACTTATTGAATAGCCTGTTGGGGCAGATTTGTTTGTTGGTTTAGGAGATTTGTATGTTGCAAATTATAAATATAAAACCGAGCCGTTTAAACAAGTCCAGGGACATAAATAGCATAAACTATCCATAAAACAGACCTCAAGCCAGAAGCGGTCCATTAAAAAACTGGAAAGATCTAAAAAAGCCCTACTTAGAAGGCGGATGAATGATGTGTTTTGGCGCTTGGTACCAGGCAAGCCTCAAGGGGGGGGAGGACATTCCAAAGGTGAAGTGCTCAGGCTTGAGGTGCAGATCTGCATTGGTAGGCTGGACAGTTTTGGAGATGGCCCTTCAGGTACCGTGGCCACAAACCATGGAGAGTGCAATCCCATGCAGAGTTTCCCCAGTCTAGGCCAATTGAAAGCAATGGCCTTCGACTGGAGTAATTCTGCATAGGATTGTACTGTTAGACTCTTAAAGGTAAAGAACCATCACTTTAAAGTGTGCCCCAAAGCAGGTGGGTAGCAATTGCAGAGCTTTCAGCATGGGTGTGATAAGATCCTCATAACCAATCCCTGACCATAGCCTGGCTGCCACAGTTTTTGCCCACTTGAAGTTTCCAGACCCTTTTTCAAAGGCAGCCCCACATAGAATTCATTACAGTAATCTAATGTGGATGTGATCGAAACATGGTTCACTGTGGCAAGATCACGCTTTGTGAGGAACAGCGGTAGCCAGTGTACCACTTGAAGCTGATACGAGGTGCTGCGTGCCATGCCAGAGACCCGAGCCTCCCCTGTAGGCTAGGAGGTAGTAGCAACCCTAGTCTATTAACCTGCCCCTTCAAGAGCATACAACTCTTTGTGCTTGATTCTTGAGAGGGAAATCTAAGGTTGGTGCAGTTGTGAAGTTTGTTTCCTTGACCCTTAATTGCACTTGGAGATCATTTCATACAGAACGCAAGACAGAGCTAGCTACTGGTTTTATTGATGGAGATTTGATTGAAAGCTTTCTAGACATCAGTCGACCCAAGATGCAGGAGGTGGTGGCTAACTTACAGGTAAGTTGGGAAAACTAGTCCTTTAGTAGGAGATTTTGAGGCAAGCCCTTCTCATTCTCGAGTTAGGCAAGTAAGAGCAGTACAACCCCCTCACCAGTGTTTCTGCAGAATGACTGTGCTTCTTACCTACTTGTTTCAGATCGATGATGGCAGCGGGATGAAGAGGGAGGCCACAGTGGACGATCTGATTAAGATTGTGGAGGAACTCACCCGTATCCACTAGCTGGATGAAGAGATATTTCCTAGCACCTTTCTCCATGCTAGCCTATGGAATCTTTCCCACTTGCAGCTGGGGGCCCCTAGCCAGTTGCACTAGAGGCAGTGGCGATGTGCCAGGGTGAAAGTGGGGAATCTGAGAACTGAAGCCATCTCACTGGGGACTGGTGGATGCAGTGTTGGCTATTGATGACATCACATTCTGCTTGGACTCACCAATCCTATGGCTCTCATTGCCAACCCAGTCCTGTCCCTTGTAACAGCAGTTGGCAAAGGTGCATCCACTACCTATACTCCTCCCACAACTCATTCACTGTTGTCTTTCAGTATCTTTATTTGAATTTTTTTTGTTTCTTGTGTATGAAGTGGAAGTCTTTTTCCTCTTCTGTTCGGATGAGGTGTGGCTAGATGGCTGTGTCTGGTGTTGGGGAGATGGGAAAAGGTGCCTACTGAGGCATATAGAGATGCCTATCTGGGTGGGGAACCCAAGTGGGTGGAAGGCCTCACTACCCCCAGGTCTTGCTACCCATTCAGGAAGAAGGGGCTCCAAAATTAATTTTCCTGTTTGTTGGTTTTGGAATTTTACCAAATAAAGTAGTCCAAGAGGAAAGGATTGTCTACTGTGGTTATAATCTCCTCCCTGTTCTGTTGTGCCTGGAAGGGGGGGGGGCACTAAGGTATTCCAACTGTGCTCAAGTGAATGTTCTTCAAGTTCATTTTCACCTTTAGTATCTAATTTCTTTCAAAAATGTCTCTGTCCTACATGGTCTTGCAGAAGGCTGGCTGACACTTTCCTAGCTAAAGGGATGGAGCGTTGATTTGAGCCATTCTTGTTTGTTGCTGAGTGCTGATCTTGATACTGGATTCTCTCCTTCTCCAGCCTAGAGGAGGGAGAATTCCCGGAAAAGAGGCTAGCTCTGAGTTGCACTAGAAAGCCCTTTCCTCCTGAGAAGCAGCAACCTCCCTCCCTCTGCTGGCAAAGAAGACAAACTGCACCAGCTGCATGGCTGTATTTTCCGCCTTCAGCCTCTGCTAGATTTGAAAGGGGTTCTTACTACCAGTGGCTCTTCCTCCCTCTCCCCCCCCCCCAATAAACCTCTTCAGGAAGAATTGCATTCACTCCGTACTGGCACTTAGCTTGGGCTTCCTTGTGATGGGAGAGGAAGGCATTGTTCAAATTGGTGTTATGGAACTTCAGCTGTTCCTTTCAGGCACTCTTTGGAAGACTAAAGAGAGCTCCCTGCTCTTCTCCATTCCTCTCCTTTTGAAGTGTAGGAGGAGAAGGTCTGATTCAGCCTCCTTGACAGCTAGTGCATCACTTAGGCGGCTTCCCACTGCGTCTGTTCCCCCTTGGGTTTTTTTTTTGTTTTTTGCAGGGTGGGGTTCTCCCTGCCATACAACAGAGTCTTCTTCTGTGTTAGCACAAATTCTTGAGCAAACTGGCATATGGCACACTGGAGCATCGCTACACAGTTCCCTGTAATGTTCAGTAAAGGGAAGAATATTTTGTAAGTAACCGCCTCAAACTGTTTAGGTCCATTACTCCTGGTACTTGTAACGGCTGTAGCATAAAGTTGTGTCCTGTACGAATCTCTGTGTACTAGATAACTCTTATCTTCTGCTTGAAGGCAATCCAACAGTGTTACTGACATTTAGCTTCATTGTTCGTCCTGTGTTGCCAAGCAGAGGTGTTACAGCTGCTAGTGCCAAAAGCAGCAAGCTCCCAATAAAACATTTTGTTCTTCAAAAGGTTTTCCCTTGGAGCAAGGTATTTGCGGGGAAAATTTGCTTTATAAGATATGCAGACCATGTAACCTAACCCTGTGGAGTTAGTGGCCAAGTTGCTTTACAGTAGGGAGCTCCCTCAAACAGGCTGGCTCGACTCCCAGAAGGAATGATTAAGAGATCTGAGACTATTGAAATGTTGAGACGACTGCATTCTGTTCCCAGCTGTTCATTTGGTTTGGCCTTAAATAAACTAAACGTGTGTATCCTAGCTCTAACTAAGATGGCCATTGCTCATGCTTGCCACTTGTGGAAGACTCACGTTTGTGTGTCCGTTAGTGCTCGCAAATGTGAAAGGAGTTTGGTATTCATGGGAGTGGCATACATATTGAGTACCTTTTGAATTGCCTTCCTTGTAATTTTTCATGGGAAATCCATATGGGGAAGTGGTAGACAAATAGCCTAGGTAGGGTACAGTTGCAGGCCAACAACCAGAAAGGTTGTGATAGGGAAGGGGCAACTATGAATTTATTTGGAGGGCCCCCATCAAGTCAATGTAAATAATTCTTACTCCTACCTATGAATAAATGTACATATGCAGCTGATAAGAATGTTATATCCAGAAGTGTAATTTTCATAATCTAATACAGTTACAAGTTAGGTTTTGCAAGCCTTGCCTTCCAACAGATGTTTGAGAGATTTCAGTGCAGACACTTCTAGCACAACCATCTTCCAGTTAGGTGCACAGAGGTTATGCAACACAAACAAACTAAAACTGCCCCAGACATACATCAGCGAAAGCTAATAAATGTGTATGTCTACCCTCTGCTTTTTCCTCATCGGAAACATAAACACCATGTTGTTTTCCAGTCAGGAAAAAAGGTAGTTTAGGCTGTTAAGTGTTTTCAAGCTGGGAGAAACATCATGTGCCCTTTCTGTGCTCTAGATGTGAAGTGTAGCTGCCAACCATGTTGTAGAGAAAGATGGTGATATTTTGGGAAGAATTCAAAGCCCCCACTTTGTATTACTCTATCTGTGTAGATGAAACATAATATGGCCATTTCCCTTACTTGTCAGTCATGCAATTTGCCCTCAGTGGCTAGAACAGTGGAAGGTGAGGACATGTTTATTAACAGATTTTTGTAAATACTGGAGCTAGAGGCGCCTTAAAAAAAACAACACACTGGGAAATGGTGGGAAGATGGGTCTGACCTCTGTATGATTCCCCCAGAACGGCTCTGATCCTGGCTACCCTCAAAGCGATTGTGGGGAGGCTTTTGACATCCTAGCTGCTGCTTTTCTCTCAGATCTGCATACCTGAATGCACACTTGCTCCTTATTCATGTGTTATGTTTCATGAGAATATTTATTTAGAACATTTTTTATTCCCACCTTTCCAGGAACTTGCCTGAGGTGAAGGACAAAATAAAAATAATAAAACCATTAATCCAGCATTAAAAATCCAGCCCAGCTTAAAACAGTAGTTTCCAAGCTAAATGAGTGTTAAAAGATCTGGGTGAGCAGAGATGCTTTGGCAACAAGGATGCCGGGTGAGCCTGATGGGAGACGGCAGGTCCACAAGTGAG